CTCTTCCGTTCCGATCAAAACATCAAACAGGTTCTCCCGACCCGCTGAGAAACCTGATCAAAGTGCTCTAGTTATTGACGATTCTATATACGGAACGTGCAAATAGAGACACCAACCACCATAGTCCAATGTTTACCGAGAGCCAGAGCACCTGACATCTTGGCAAATTTAAAAGTGCTGGCTAATGCTAAACGTAAATACAGTAAGATTGTTATTCACGCTGGCGCTAATAATGTTCGACTTCGCCAGTCAGAGATCACTAAAAATAACATTAAAGAGGTGTGTGAACTTGCAAGCACGATGTCAGACACTGTAATATGCTCTGGTCCCCTCCCTGCTTACCGTGGTGACGAGAAACATAGCAGACTGTCGTCACTCAATGGCTGGATGTCTAAGTGGTGCCCACAGAATAACATAGGTTTCATAGATAATTGGATGAGTTTTTGGGGCAGACCTGACCTGTTGAAAAGAGATGGTCTTCATCCCTCCAGGGATGGTGTCGCTCCTCTTTCTAGAAATATGGCACATAGTCTTAGAGTTTGTACTTGACTAACTGGGGCCCAGGTCAGGAAGCAGACAGACTGACTAAACCGACCGTCTGCTAGCCGCCTCACGTCACAGAAATCAGTTAATTCTCAGCACATAGAGACTCTTTTCTTATTCCGAGGTCACCGTAGCCACCAGATCCAGTCTGTATCCAGTTCAGATGGTCACTGCAGTCACCCGGATCCAGTACATATTCAGATCAGATGGTGGATCAGCACCTAGAGAGGACCTCTATAGCCCTGAATGTCAGCGGAGATCAGCACAACTAGATGAGCCCCAGAGACAGATCCCCAGTGAAGACCTTGTCTCCTAGACGGCCACCTGGACAAAACCACAGGAACCAGTTGAGTCCTCTGCACAATGTGACTTTGCTGAAGCCTGGATTTGAACTGTTGGTTTCGTCTGGCCAGAGGAGAACTCCACAGGCCCCCCGACTGAGCCTGGTTTCTTTCTTCTCCATTCTGTCACTGATGGAGTTTTTGGTTCCTTGCCGCAGTCGCCTCTGGCTTGCTTAGTTGGGGACACTTCATTTCCAGCGATATCGTTGACTTGATTGCACAGATACTATTTAAACTGAACTGAGCTGGATGATGACATCACTGAATTCAATGATGAACAATTAGAAAAATTTGTGTTTACTATTGTCCTTCTGCATTATTGGCACACTATTTTCCTAATTAATGCTGTACAGTTGCTTTGACACAATCTGTATTGTTAAAAGCGCTATATAAATAAAGGTGACTTGACTTGACTTGACAAGGAATGTTGTGATTGCTTGTCAAAGCAGCCAATCAGAATTTAGCAGCCTCGTCTCTGATTGGCTGGAATTATGGCATATTGTAACGCTGGGTTGTGTTGAGCAAGCGAGCCATTGGCATTTAGAGAGCACTGAGGGAGGGCATCAGGTGAGCAAGCTAGTGAAACATTGCATGCGCACAAAAGAAAGTCTGCACAAATCCAAAAACTTATTTTAATGCAAAATTTATTTTTGTGCGCTCGAAATACTTTCTTCTTTGCGAGACAAACATTTTCTCCACAAAACTCCGCTAGTGAAACATTGCATGCTCAAAATATGATCTTTCGCACACAGAATTGTGTAACACACTCGGAGTGTGTTACCTGTTAGTTTTGTTTTAAGAATCTTGTGATGTTATAAAAATCAGATATTGTGAATTTTCTTTTTTACTGTAGAGAAAGTGTTTTAAACTTGTCTTTTTGATTCACACAAACATCAAGAATCAGCGCATGAATCTCAGCAATGGTGACAATCAACGCAAAGCTTTTTTGTGACTTTAGTCAGGGCCGGCGCTAGCAATAGGCAGAGCAGGCGATTGCCTAGGGCCTCGGGCTTTGAGGAGGGGCCTCCATAACCGTAGCATCCCCTACACACCAGTCCACCAGTCAAGACAGGCAGCAAATACTAGCCTCATTGCCTATCTCATATGATGAAATAATCATCATGAGCTGGCCTGATTATAAACAAAATCACTTTTTATTTTTTATTTTTATTTTTTATATGTTTAGGTTTTGCATAATCAACCCTGTGAAACTACAGCATGCAGACAGTGTTGCTCTAATAGTTATAGTGAATGAATTTTAAATCTATGTAATGCATATAAAAATTTAAACACCAGTACTGTTTAGACATTTAGACACACAAAGCAGGTTACATCTACTGACAGTTATACTTTTTTTTTAAAAGTTGGTTGAATTCATTTATAATCAGTAATCTTAAATCGTTTATTTCAATTCGTCAAAACCAGTTATTGTAGATGTTACCACATGAAGTACATTTTCTAATTTGAACTGACTAAACATGTTTTTTTTTCAGTGTGGAAATATAATGTCAAGTACTGTATTTTAACCTGAATTTAGAATTAGAAATATTGTTTCCCGACCATGTTCCTGGAAGCACAACACAATTTCAAACTCTTACTAATTAAACATGATCCAACTCATCAGTTTGTTAGAGACTTAAATAAATAATTTTTCCTGGTGGCTAAAGAATAAGTTCACAAGACAGTAAGTAAGACAAGAAGAAAAGCGAGAAAAACGTCGTTTTACAGACACCGTAAGTAGGCCGATCTGGAATCAAAAATTACTTTCTACACTGAAAAAAAATCGGTGTAGAATCAATTTTCACTTAGCTAGTTACAAAGAAACACTTAACGATTATAATTATTGGTTCATGATGATCCATTAAAGTAGAAAGTTATTTGAAAGAAACGTAAGGAAAAGACTAGACATGTTTTCAAGTAGTTATTAGATGTACATTTAAACAAGTTTCTCCTCCTTAAAATCACAGCTCAGCATTGCTCTGCTCCTCGACCGTGTCTCCGCCTTCTCTGCTAACTCCATTCCAGCGTGTTTTTAACCTCCTCCCATTTTCTTCTCTGATTCGGGGCTGTCCCAACAATAAGAGCACACCTCTTGTAGCACAGCATTACGGACAGTCCGTGGAGGAAGACTACGCTGAATACGCTGAAGGCTTTGGACACAGAAGCGTGAGATCTGAACGAGCTGTTGCCCCGCAGCGGGCAGATCTGATCAATCGGGGCAAGATGTGGGTTTGGTACTTTCTGCTCGGTTCGGGAACGCGCACGGGCTCGGTCGGTGAGTCGCTACGCCTTCATCCATTGTTGTTCTGACGCTCCTTCTTTAGCGCCATTAGTGCAGCAGTTGTTATAGTGTTTCAGTAGTGCTCAGTCATCGCAGCTGTTGCATTTTCCTTCAGAAGTACTAGCAGCATAACTTCTGTTACATTAAGTAACGGGTTCGTGAAGCACACCGGCATTAACGTGCACGCGCCCCCCTCCTGGGGACTTTTTTTTTCTTCCTTTAAACGATTAGTTATTTGAACCAAATGGAGTTTGTGATTTACTGGGTGGACGCAGGAATCGACATGCCTGTGCAGCTAACACAATTATAAATAAATAGTTCTAGCATTTCCCTATTTTTTTTCAAAATATTACTAATGAGATCTAAGCCCATGATGGAGTGTGTATCTGCTGAAGGTCACCTGAACAACAACCATTTAATGGTCAGATAAACAATGCTATAAGGATCTTTTCTATTGAAATGATTTTTGAATCAGAGAGTTATCATTATAAGAGCATTTATAAACATAGAGGAACAATATTTTTGGATTGTGACAGTTTTGTGGTTAAATATGTTACATTCCCAGTAATAGGGCCTCTTTATAAATGTGAACATGCCTAAATTTATCAAGCAACATAAATTAAAATTATTTTATTGCAGTGTAAGGCTTTTAGTAGTCTGGCAGATCCAGATAAATATTTTTGACAACATAGCATGTAATTGATTACTTTTTATTCTTTTCTGATTAAAACTGTTTTGCGTTCATGACAGTTGGACAGCGCTACCATGCAAGTGATCTATAGCACAAGTTCATGCTCTTTATAGGCAAAACTCACCTTTTACATCTATGATTTCTCAATTTATGGCACCTTTACACAGAGTTTATGTGCATTTCATACACAGTATCCAGTTAAATTCATTGATCGATTAGCAGGAAGTGGCAGAGGTTTTAAACACACTGAGGAGATCAATGCCTAACAACTCGATTGTCGCCTCTTTGACTCACTGGTGTGAGGTAAGCAGGGCCCCAAGGAATCAGGGGCACCATGTGATTTGGAAAAACAGATTTGGCAAATGCTCCAGTGTATATTTGTGTTTGTGTAGACACAATGTAAATAAGATTTTCATTGTAAAGTGTAGAGCTTCTTTGAGTATAACTTTGTGAGATCGTAATTATAAGGGGAGTGCAATAATAGTAAAATTGGTATATTATATTATACTGTATTGGTATATTATATATTATTCATTCCCAATAGTAATGAGTGTCTCACCTCAGAGAGAAAAGTAAACACATACTTTTGAGATTTATAGGCCTTGTGTTTTGTGTCATGATTTTCGTGATTTATAGATGATCGATAATGTGAAGGGGTAAATAAACTTGAAGCTATGAGCAAATGAAGCTTACAAAATTAAATGAATGCATACTGTAGTTGGTGTTTTGGGCCCTCAAATCACTAAGTCCGCCCCTGGCACGGGGCCTGTGGAAAACGAGTTGGAATAGCTAGATAATTGAATTTGTGCACATAACAGACATGACTGTCATCAGCTACAGTGCTTGCTGCTTCAATCTTTTATGCAGCACGAGTAGATCTAAATATAATACCATAATCAACTATTTTCACAATTAGTTAAGCTGTAATAGTTAAAATGTAGTAAAATGTTTAAAAACAGTTCCACATGTAATATCATGCAAAAAGTTAGCCAATCATAGTAGTAGGCATTTACATTGAAGTGTTAAAGGAGACACACCCTTTAAAGTCCAGTCAAATCACCTTTATTTTTATAGTGCTTTAGACAATATACATATTGTGTCAAAGCAGCTTCACAGAGACAAACAGGAAAACATCAGAATCTGTTATGGAAACTCAACTATTGAGACGATTCAGATTCTGCTGTAAAGCAACTTTAAGACAATAGTGTCATTGTTTGTCAAGTCAATTTATTGGTTCCGTTCAGAACTACTTGAACCAGTTCGAAAAAATGGACTGAACCCTCTGAAACAGTTCCCGACTCGAGCAGCACAGATTGTACTAGGGATCAAGTTACTAGGGCTGGGCGATATGGCCATAAAATAATGTTTCAATATTTTTTAGCTGAATTGCGATATACAGTATATATATATATATATATATATATTGGTGCCATCAATCGATTAAAAAAAATTAACTAATTAATCGAATCGTTCTGAAATTAATCGCGATGCAAATCCCACCTAACATTAAAGTTTTTACATATACTTTGCCGGCGCCTTCGTGTGTGCTATCGAAGAGCACGCGCTGCAAGCACATTACCGTTTCCGCACTCATTTGACTCCCGCCTGGCGCTGAGGTGAAGTTGAGCACACGTCTGAAACGTCTCCAGTTCTCAGTCATTCTGCGACTGAATAAATGCACTTGTCAAGAGAGAGTTGTGAGTGGGGTGGTCAACCCTAGCCTTGCCCCTGCGTTAATTGCGTTAAATATTTTTAACGTGTTAAACTGAAAAAATTAATCGCATGCGTTAACGCGCTAATTTTGACACCACATATATATATATATATATATATATATATACATACATACAGTCTATAATCTATGTTTTTCTATTTGTATTTTTTTTATCTGTATTTGTTTAAAATGTTTAGTCCATTTCTTGATCAGTGTTGTCCAATGTTCATATTAAAGACTTTGAAAATAAATAAAGTGAATGTAACCATGTAGGCTATGCTATATATTATGTTCAAAAAGGTTTAAAATCACATTACATTCTAACATTACAATCTAAAAACAAAAATAAAGCTTTTTAAATAGAAGCTACATTCACTTATCTAGAAATTAAAATAAAAACAAAAGACTAATTGTATTAGGTTATTTTGATTATATATTATATTACATTTACATGTACGCTTCTATCCAAAGCCACTTACAAATGAGGACAATAGAAGCAATCAAACCAACAAAAGAGCAATATTATGGAAGTGCTGTGTCAGGTCCCAGTTAGCCTAATGCAGTACACTTAGCACTGATTTTTTTTTTTTAATAAAAAGAAAACAAGTAAATAGAATAAATAGTGTAGTTAGAGGGTCAGTTTTTTAATAAATAAAAAGAAAGCAAGTAGAAACAAAACAGAATAGAGAGCACTAGTGTTAGAGGTTCAAGATTTTTTTTTATAAATAAAAAGAAAACAGTAAATTAAAAGAAATAGTTAGAATAGAAATAGAATAGAGAGTGTTAGATTGTCAAGTTTTTTATAAGTAAAAAGAAAACAAGTAGATAGAATAGAAATAGAACAGAGAGTGCTAGTGTTAGAGGGTCAAGTGTAGATGTAAGAAATGTGGCTTTAGCTGTTTCTTGAAGAAGGCTAAAGACTCAGCTGCTTGGATTGATGGCAGGTCATTCCACCAGGAGGGAACAGTTAATGTAAAAGTATGTGAAAGTGATTTTGTGCCTCTTTGGGATGGCATTATTATGCACCATTCACTTGCAGAACACAAGCTTCTAGAGGCACATAAGTCTGAAGTAGTGAATTAAGGTGAAGGGGTGCAGAGCCAGTGGTGGTTTTGTAGGCAAACATGAATGCCTTGAATTTTATGCGAGCAGCTATTTGTAGCCAGTGCAAAATGATGAACAGAGGTGTGATGTGCTTTCTTTTTGGCTTGTTAAAGACTAATCTTGCAGCCACATTCTGGATTAATTGTAGAGGCTTGATAGAACTGGCTGGAAGACCTGCCAAGAGAGCATTGCAATAGTCCAGCCTGGATAGAACAAGAGCTTAAGTTGTGAACAGAGCAGTTCATTCCTGTTTGCACCATGAGAAGATGATGGCTTCATCAAAGCACCAAAAGGCTAGTAAAGTATGTTAAAGTATGTAAGATTTTTGGTACTTGTTATCTTTAAGGTGTCTAGCATTAATATATGAATTCCTAATTATTCAGTTTTGTTGAGTGTTGTCACAGAATGAGTAAACATGTTGATAGCAACAATAGTCACTGGTGGGATAATACAGTGTATTAAGGTTACACTAAATTAAATATTCAAATGTTACAAATAAGTTACAATATTGATGTTATAATACTGGTAGCACTAATATAAAAATTTGATGATATATGTTACATACAATAAAGTAACAATTTTGAAATACGTTGATGGTTGTATTGTTTTGTCTTTTATATCAGTATTCCTATCAGTGTTGTATAAGAGTTTTATGCATAATAGTGTAGCGTCTGCGTAGAATCATGCATGATCTTTGGGTTTTATGGCTTAAGAGACCCGTAACCCTGAATGTGATGAAACAGAGCTGGGCTGAGATACCTAAAATTGTTGATAACTGCAGAAATATGTTAATTCAGTATACACATTTTCCCACCGGAATTGTGACCAACCACAAAACAAAATTTTTCACACACTTTTCCCAAAAATAAAGTTTGCGGAACGATGTATGTTATAATACATCGTGTACACTCACTAATCAAAGAGTGACAGCTTTTTAATGATTATGAACACTCATTGCAAGCTTTCTAGTCAATAATCCAATTAAAATGTAGCCTAGAACTTTGTTTTTCGGCCACACACACGTTGCAAAGTTTTGGGAATGACGTCAGTATATTTATGCGGGATTCACTCTCGAAGTAGCAGTGATTGACATAGTGATAACCATAGCAACAGACGGGACAAAATATGTGAAAATGTGCATTAAGACTAGAGCACCCTCACTCATTTCAGAAGCACCCTCAGTGATTATTTCTGGAACCTGGGTGATACGCTTTTATTGCAAAACTATATACAAAAACAACAAAATACAAATGCACTAAATAAAATAATTGAATAAATGCATATTTACAATTTAAGCACTTAACTAAAATAAGTAGGCTATTAATAAAATAAATAACTAGAGAAGGCTGACTATAATCAGCTTGCATCCATTTAGTGAGATAAGTCTACTCCTCACCTGAATTAGAAAAAAAGCTCTTAGTCTTCAGTGATGCGAAGACAACGTTTGAGCGTGTACACGCAATATCTGAGCGAGAGCAGAGCCAA